GCATTGCCTGCTCTTCCAAAGGTCCTGAGTTCAATTCCCAGCAACCACATGGTGGCTCACAACCATCTGCAATGAGGTCTGGTGCCCTCTTCTGGCCTGCAGACATACACACAGACAGAATATTGTATGAATAATAAATAAAATATTTAAAAAAAAAAACAAAAAAAAAAAAAAACAGGGGGACTGAATAGCACCTCTTCCCGTCATTGCTGTGTTAATGTTTAAACTGGCTTCTCCTGTAGCTCCTTTTCCTATCAAGACCCCGTAGCACACTTTCTACAGTCTGGGGTTTCTAATGCAGTAGCTCAGGCCAGACAATGACTCCCATAATTTCTATTTAAAATTAAATCTGACTTCAAGTCCCCACAAGCCAGGTGGTCTACAGAACGGGTCTAGGAAATCCAGGGCTACACAGAGAAACCCTGTTGTGAGAGTCTCGGGGTTCCCCCTTTCCTGAGCCTCAGACACCGCCTCTGGTTCTCTGTCTTTCTGAGAGGCTCCAGGCACTGGACACAACTCCTCTCTCCCCAGGCTGGGGCACTCAGGGACACTCCAGCTTCTCGCCTCTATGAAGCCTTGATTCAATAATAAAAGCCTCCTAAGGGACTCTCAGGTCCCCAGGACTTGTCCCTGGGTGCCCTCTCTGTCTTACGGCGACTTGCCGGAAAGTAAGAGTCAGCTTCTTTCTAAACGAGGTCACTTTGGCCTTTGTTTACACAGCATTAGATTATGCTCTTGTCTTCACTCTCCCATGAGCCTTTAGAAACGAAGTTTCGAGAGTTGCCAAGGTCCCGGGTCTGAAGGGATCATTATTTATTTATCCAGCCACCCTGCTCTCTTGGGCGTTCAGCACCAAAGCGTCTAAGTTCTCCAACGTTGAATGGAACACATGCTCAACAGGCCTGAATCCCTGTCTGTGAATTAAGGTCCAAGCTGTTCAGTCGCTTCTCTGAGAGACCTTGTAGTGTTGCCGTGCGTGCGTGCGTGCGTGCGTGCGTGTGTTGGTGCACGGCCGATGAGATGGTGCAGCTCGGTAAAACCACTTTCTGCCAAGGCTGAAAACCTGAGCTCAATCCCCAGGACTCACATGGAGGAAGAAAAGAAATGACCCCCGTAATTTGTCCTCTAACCTCCAGTTTTTCATTTTAACTTTGTGTGGGGAGGGGGGGGGGAGACAGGTCTCACCGTGTAGTCCAGGGTGGCCTCGAACTCATAGAGGACTGCCTGCCTCTGCCTCCTGAGTGCTTGGATTAATGATGTGTGCCACCATGCCTGGCCATCTCACATGGTTCTTGAAGCTGGAAGTCCCATGGAGGAGCCAGTACGATCGGTTCTGGTGAGGAGGATTCTCTTCCTCTCAGTGCCAGGCAGCTACCTACTCACTGTGTCCCCACATGCCGAAGAAAGGGGAGACTCTGGTGTCTTTTCCTCTCCTCAGTGAAGCACCTTTGTTGGGGCTCCACCCTCATCTACGCCCCATTACTGCCCCAAACCTAAAGTCATCACCTGGGGGTCGGACTTCGACGTCTGAACTGGGGACAGAGACCTTCAGTCAGTGACAATGATCGCCAGCCAGAGGCATCTGGGGGCTGTTGCAGGGCCTAACCTGGTGCTGGGCAGCTTAACGTCCAGGAGGGGACACTATGGGGTGACCAACGGCTCTCCTTCCTGAGCATTGAGCGTCTAAGGTAGAGAGGACGCCTCCTTTGCAGCTAGGCTGACCCTGGCACGGAGGGGCTCCTGGGGAGCTACTTCCCCTTTCTTCTTGTGGAAGGGAAAGACTAGGTAGGACTGCTTCGCGCTCAGGAGCTGGGAACGGCTGACCTGTCTGCTCACTGGATCCCCGGATGACTTTGTGGACTAGCGCCTACTTCCCTGCTCCCCACAAGAAAAAAATGCCGTGCACATGTTCGGAAACTCCCTGCGTTATTTCTACAGACGTTTATCCTCTGCCTTCTCCGATAAGACCCGGGCTTCCAAATTACTTTATTACAAAGAGGTCAGAGGAGAGTGAGCGGGTAAGGGAGATAGGGGGCGGAGCTCAGTTGGTAGTGTTTGCCGGGTGCGCACAAAGCCCTGGGTTCCAACCCTAGCAAGGCACAAACTGGGCATGATGACGTAGGCCTGTGGACGCGGCACCGGGCTGTGGAGGCATGAGGGGCAGAGTTCAAGGTCGTCCCTCAGCTACACAGTAAGTTGAGGCCAGCCTGGGCTACAAGATAACTTGTTTCCCCACACACCCCTCAAAAAAAAGACACGGAAGCCGGGCGGTGGTGGTGCACGCCTTTAATCCCAGCACTCGGGAGGCAGAGGCAGGCGGATCTCAGTTTGTTCGAGACCAGCCTGGTCTACAAGAGCTAGTTCCAGGACAGGCTCCAAAACCACAGAGAAACCCTGTCTTGAAAAAAACCAAAAAAAAAAAAAAAAAAAAAGACACGGAGTGGGTGTCACCTACAGGACCGGCTGCTTACTGGTGAGAAGGGAGGGCCACACTTTTTGAGATCACAGAAATCTATATGGAGTGTGGCAAGAGAGTAAAGGAAAACGGTTTGGTTCTTCTGTCCTAGGAGGGTTTGTTTTTATTCTAAAAATTGCTATTCTAAGCAATGGGGAGCCACCGATTTCTTTTTGAGAGGGGCTCCCGATCAGTTCCACATGCACGGAGCTCACACTGGCTGACGTGTGGAGGCTGGACAGCCGAGGTTCGCTTCTGCTTAAGCGTCGCGGTCAGAAGCACAGACTTGGATCTGTGGGGTGGGTGGGTGGGACCCGTGGGATGCTCCCATCGGTAAGTGCTGGAGGTCTGAGATGTGGGGAGGCTACTGTGGATGGCTCCCACGAAGGAGCTCTTGGTAGCCCTAGTCAGGAGACTTGTGAATGGGGGAGGGGTTGGAGTTACCATACACTTTCGCTATTACGCTATTCCATTTTTGGCTCGGACCCGAAGCAATGGGTCCAGTCAGCGCTGGACTGGAGCTGGCAAAACCGCACATAACTTCCCACTCTGTCTCCCTCAGGTGTCTGTCACGGCGTGAGATCTGACAACCGAAAGTGAGACTAGCTGTGGTGTTAGCGGATCCCCCAGGGACCCCAACAGTCTCGGCAGTGGGTGGGCTGAGGCAGACGTTGAGTTTGGTGTCACCTTGGGCTACATAGGGAGGTCCAGTCTCAAAGGAAAAAAAAAATAGCCAAAGAACTTGATCATAGGGGTAGAGCTTTAAAGGGGAAGGGGGTCACCTCAGAGAGAGCGGCCACAGCACTGCTCACAGACGGGCTTCACAGAAACAAGGGAAGGGGCATGCTTTCATGTGGCCGCTAGGGTCGTGAGCATGGAGTGTTTGGGGGTTTTTGTTGTTGTTTTTAGAGACAGGGTTTCTCTGTGTAGCCTTGGCTGTCCTGAACTCAGCTCTGTAGCCCAAGCTAGCTCTGAACTCACAGAGATCCGCCTGCCTCTGCCTCCCAAGTGCTGGGATTAAAGGCGTGCGTCATCACTGCCATGCCTGAATGTGGTATTTTTTAAGTGCCTTCCTTGCATAAGCTATTCATCAGTGGGGCTGGAGAGATGGCTCAGGGGTTAAGGGCAGTGACAGCTTTTCCAGAGAACCTGGGTTCAATTCCCAGCACCTACATGGCTGCTCATAACTGTCTGTAGTTCCAAGAGATCTGACACCCTCACACAGACATGCAGGCAAAACATCAATGCATATAAAAATAAAAATAAATAATTTTTAAAAAGCAATTATTTTAAAAGCAATCAGTCTACCCCGGCAGATGCTGTGGTTCCAGCCTTGGGTTGCTGCCCCTGGTATCTGGTCCTTGGGTAACACAGAAATGGCAGGGCAGAGAGGGTGGGAGGGGAAGGGAGGGAAGGACCAGTACCGTGCCTTAGTAGGAAGCAGGCTCAAGAGTAAGACCAGAGCGCTTAGGGTCCTCCTCTCGTGGTCCCTGGGGCTTACATCCTTGCTTCTGAAGGAGCTGTGTTTCACAAGTATAATCAGGCCTGAGGATCACAACCTGTGCTCCCTCAATGAGCCAATTAAAGCCGCTACATCAGGGCCTGGAGAGCACTGACTACTCTTCCTGAGAATCCAAGTTCGGTTCCCAGTACCCCTCAGCTTCGTGCCTGGAGTTCCAGCCCCAGGGGGATCTCAAGCCCTTTTCTGACCTCACACGGTGCACAGACAGACGTGCAGATCTCTGTGAGTTCGAGGTCATCCTGGTTTACAGAGGGAGTTCAGGACAGTCAGGGCTACATAGAGAAACCCTGTGTTCGGGGGCGGGGGGTGAGGTAGGGGGAGTCAGCGTGGAAAGCAGAAAACGGAGATGAACTCAATGTGGCCACATCGGGGAAAGGGAACCCCACAAGCCTGTATCCGGGCTAAAATTTAAAGAGCAGGCCAAGGATTTGCCCCTTGACCACTGACCCTTCCCTGCGGGGGCTAAGTCATGGGAGCTGGGTGAAATCTCTCTGCCAGAGACAAGTCTCCCTTGCTGGTGCCTTTTCCTCCTCCCAGCAGGACGTTCCCGGTAAAGAAACCCCCATTTCTCTGGGGGTCCAGAGACACAAATGTCTCTCTGGAATGGCTTCACGTCGGGCGTCCCGCGTCCGCACCAGGCTCGCCAAGGCTGAGGCGGTCTCTGCTGCTGGGGGCCAGGGGCGGCTGTGATTGAGCCAAACTGGCGGGAATGCAAGCTCGCCTCACGTGCAGACACACGGGTAGGGCCTGGGGGACGGCTCCACGACGAGGTTCTGGAGCATTTCAGGACGATTGCCAGAATCCAGCGAAAATAAAGCCCGGCTTGTGCACTCGGGCAAGGGGCGGGAGCCGAGCGCCGATTGACCATAGAGGCGCCAGGCTAGATTGTCTCCGGGCCCTGCAGCGGACATCTTGACTCCTGGCAAAAAATACTTTTGAAAACGTCCGAGGCCTCTACTAAGCTGGTTGCACCACCCCAAACCGTGAAGTTAAATACCTGTCCCGGGAGACTCAAAAATCAAGCGTCCACGCGAACCAGTAGCGCACCCGTCAGAACTGGCTCTCGAGGCGACGCCGCCATCCCCGCCCTTTTCCGAGATGGCGGCGGCGAGGACGCTCTAGCCGCCGGCCTGGGTTCCGCGGAGGCGTGGGGGGGGCGGCGGCGGCTGCGCGTGGGTGTCCCGCCCCCTCCCTCCCGCACCCGCGCCGGTCGCCGCTGTCGTCGTCACAGCTGCGCCCGCGTCCGGCCCCGCGCCTCGGGCCGGAGGATGCCCAGGAGGCTGCTGCTGCCGCCCCCGCTGTCCGCGTGCTCGGTCCTGCGCCTCCCGCGGGCTCGCCCTGCCGCCCCGCCGGCCATGAACGCCGCCCGCACCGGCTACCGAGTTTTCTCGGCCAACTCCACGGCCGCCTGCACCGAGCTGGCCAAGCGCATCACCGAGTAAGCCGGGGCGGTCTCGGGTGGGACCGGGGGCAGACGCTTCGGGCCGACTCCCATCCCAGACCCGGAGGTGACCGTCGCCATTTCCAGCCGTCCCTAACGGGACCGGCTCGGTGGGTCGAGCCTCGGACCGAAGGCGTTGGAAGGGCTGGGAGAAGGAGCTCAGAACTACAGTGGGGTGGGCGGGGAGAGCTATGATTCCGAGTGTGTTGATCAGTTGCACGCACACACGCGCGCGCGCACACACACACACACACACGCAGGCTTTGCCTAGGGGTGTGTGCAGGTGTGACTTCAGGGGACCTTGGGGGGTTTGCCTGTCGTCTGTCGTCACCTCGCTGACACTGGGTGAGGGACGTGGTTGGTTGGTTGGTTTTGTTTTTTCTAACCTTGTAAAATGTTGGTGATTCTATGGGACAGGGATGGGAGTGTGAGCCTGAGTTTAGTGGGAAATACTGGAGGTGAGTCCTGCAGGTCGGGGCCTCCCAGTGGCCCCCGATAGCACATGTCTGGTGTAAGACCCCTTTTCTCCTTTAGAGAAAACTAGAGCCCTCTTATAAAGCGCCTTAAGGGCCCTTTTTAAAATAAACTTTTTAGAAATATATAACCAAGTTTGTCCCCACGTTGTTTAACTTGTTCTTTGGGCTTTGTTCCCTGCTGAGGAGGCTTGCTCAGTCTGGCTCTGAGCGACTGGCCTTGAACTATCTGCCTCCCTTTGCTGGCGAGCAGGAATTGTGGGATTAAAGGCCTTATGCCACCACACCCATCCTCAATTTTTGATTTTTGAGATAAGATCATTGTGACCCAGGCCAGCCTCTGTTATCTTCTGGCCTTAGCCTTCCGGATGCTGGCCTCACCTGTCTGTCCAGGCTTAAATGGCTTGACTTTGAACATTTAAGGTCATTTTCCCGCGTCGGGAATTCTTATCTCCACCTGTTGTGTTAGCACTTGGACTTTGAGGTGGGTTTAAGAGAGTACCAGAGGGCAACTCTGCATTCTGCTGCCTGCTTTCTGCTTCTAAGCCCTGTTTATGGTCTTTCTAGCCAAGGCCAACCACGGGGCTCACTCTGAAGCCTCAGTTTGTTTACCTTGGGTCATATTTACTCGGTTATGAGCTTGCCTTGAGTAAGCCTAAGGGAAGGCTTTAAAAATGAGTGGTTTGCCTTTTTTGTTATGCTAATGGTTCAGAAAGCCTTGAAGTTGTATAACAAACCTTGTTATAAACACAGTGTCTGTTATTACACGGTAGAGCTTTTGCGGCGTTTATATGATTGTGCTCTTTCCTTTTTTTTTTTTTTTAAGAGAGTTTTGCTGTGAAGTCCTGGGTGGACTTCACGTTACAGCAATCCTCCTGCCTCAGCTTCCAGAATGCTGCGTTGATTAATACCCGACTCCCTTTTTCTTGTGTAATAGGCGTCTTGGTGCTGAATTGGGGAAATCTGTTGTGTACCAGGAGACCAATGGAGGTAAGTTAGAGTCTTTTTGTTCCATTGAGCGTTTGTTGCTGTCCTTTGGGCAGCGTCTCATAGCCTAGGCTGGCATGACCTTGATCCGTCTCCCTGGTGCTGGGATAGCGAGCATGCCCACTACTCTGGCTTCATTTCCTTCTCCATTAGATAGATAGGCATTCAGGCCTCAGCTCAAGATCCTCTTGCTTCTGCTTCTCCAGTAATACCACATGGGCGTTGGGCTCCCTCTCCCTACCGTGTGGGGCCTAGGAGTCAAACGCGGGTCATCAGCCTCAGTACTGAGTGCCTTTACCTTCTGTGCCGTCTTGCTGGATCAGCCCTTGTTGGTTTGGAACTGTTATGCCCAGATCACGGAGTCACCCCCAAACCAACTAGGAGACCGAGTCTTGTCTGTAAAAGCAGAGAGCCTTCATTCTTACACAAGTTTGCAAACCCCGTCTCTCCGTATGTCCAATGTATTGCAGTGATCAGAGAGCCCTTAGCTCAGTTAGGGTTGGGTTTTTATAGTAGCCCAGGTGGGGGCGGGGATGAGGGATTTCTAATGTTCAGGACCCCTGATTGGCTGACATTTGTTTCATGCTGTCCTGGTGAAAAACGATGGGTGTCTCCAATGGTTGGAACTTTAGGAATTTTCTTTGATTGACCTGTTCCCGGGTGGGGCCTGGGTGGTCTCCATTTTTCTTGGAACCAGGTTTTGCCTTAAACTACTGAGACTCAGGGCTCTGTTGTCAAGGCTGGGTTCTCCAGGAACCTGCTACAGAACTGAGGATGATTTTGAGTTCCTTATCTGCCTGTTTTAGCCTTCCTTGGTCTGGGATTGTGGGCATGTACCTGTTGTTGGGTTTTATTTTTACTCTCTGCTCTTTGGGGGCCCCCACCGAAATCCCAGGTAAATACACAGAGACTTATTCTTACTCATGAATGCCTGGCCTTAGCTTGGCTTATTGGCCAGCTTTTTGTTTTGTTTGTTTTCTCAAGACAGGGTTTCTCTGTAACTTTGGAGCCTGTCCTGGAACTCACTTGGCAGACCAGGCTGACCTCAAACTCACGGAGATCCACCTGACTCTACCTCCCAAGTGCTGGTATTAAAGCCATGCACCACCCCCTTAGCCAGCTTTTCTTAACAAATTATCCTTCTACCTTTTGCCTCTGGAGTTTTACCTTTCTCTGTGCTAGAGGCCTTTCTTTCCTCTTATTCCATTGCTGGCTGCTGAAGTTTCTGTCCCTCCTGGTCCTGCAGCCCAAAGTCACACAGAGGTCTACATTAATTATAAACTGATGGGCCCATTAGCTCAGTCGTCAGCCAGACGCAAAGGAAGTCGGACACAGAGCAAGCAAGATGTGACTGCATCGCTGAAAAAGGTACCAAGCCATATGGCTGACACACACAAAAATTATAGGTTGTAGCCAGGCGGTGGTGGCACATACCCTTAATCCTAGCACTGGGGAGGCAGAGGCAGGTGGATTTTTGTGAATTCGAGGCCAGCCTGGTCTATAAGAGCTAGTTCCAGGACAGGCTTCAAAGCCACAGAGAAACCCTGTCTTGTAGTAATAAGGGTGGCGGGGCTGCGTCCCTGGCACCCCAGCCGCCTGGCTAGCTTATGCCCCGAAATAACAACACACAAACTGTATTCATTTAAACACTGCTTGGCTCTTTAGTTCTAGCCCTTACTGGCTAATTCTGATATCCCGATCAACCCATCTCTAATAATCTGTGAGAACTGGTCTTACCGGGAAGATTCTAGCCTATGTCCATCCTGGGTCAGAGCTTCATAGCGCGCGTCTGCCCAGGAGCCAGGAGCATGGCGTCTCTCTGAGGCGTCTGCTCCCGAGAGAGCTGTGGAGTCTGAGCTCACTTCCTCTTCCTCCCAGCGTTCTGTTCTGTTTACTCCTCCCACCTATCTTCTAACCAATAAAATGGGCCAAGGCAGTTCCTTTATTAGCCAATGACCTTCCTCCATCACTGTCTCGAAAAATAAAAAACAAACAAACAAAAAAAAGAATTATGGGTTGATATAAGTTGTAAGAATTAATAAGAAGCCTGAGCTACTGGGCTAATCAGTTCATAATTAATGTAGGCCTTTGTGTGTTTATTTGGGACTAAACGGATGTGGGTCTGCTGGGACAGAAACCTCTGGGTGGTTGGGCGACTGGCCCTTGGCATCCTCCTCTCTTCCTCTTATGCCTCCCTCTTCTCTTCCTTCTTCTATTTATTCTCTCTGCCTGGCAGCCCCGCCTGTCCCTCTCCTGCCTAGCTGTTGGCCATTCAGCTCTTTACTAGACCAGGTGTTTTAGGCAGGCAAAGCAACACAGCTTCACAGAGCTAAACGAAACATAAAAGAATGCAGCACATCTTTGCATCACTGAATATTCCACAGCACAAACAATTGTGACACATCTTAAAGTCATATTCCACAACATGCCCAGCTTGATGGGTTTTGTTTGTTTGTTTTTAACATGCTGTTGCATTGTTTCCTTGGCCCAATAGAATTTGCCACCCAGGCCTGGAACTTGGGGTCCTCCTGTCTTAGCCATGTGGAACCATCACACCTCAAAAGCTGGCGTATTTTTACAAGTAGATAGCGCTTTAAGTTTTGTTTATGTGTGGTGGTATGCAGGTGTGGGGGTGAGTGCACGTGGTGGTGTGCGTGTGTGCACGTGTGGAGTGCACGTGGTGGTTTGGGTGTGGTGCATGTGCAGAAGTCAGGATGAGCTTTGGGGCTCAGTTCTTTCCTGTTTTGTTGAAGCGAGTCTCCTACTGTTCCTGCTGCTTTGCACATACAACAGGAGTGCTGTGGTTATGGATACCAGGCACTGTGTGTCACCATGCATGTGTGTTGCGTGTACGCATGTTTATGTTTGCATGCCTGTGTATGCATGTTAGGGACTGAGCTCAGATCATCAGTCTTGCATAACAAGTGCTTGTACTCACTGATGTATGTGAACTTTCCAGCATTAGAGGTCTGTGTCCTTGGTCCTCCTGTCTCTTTAGATTCTGACTGTTGTCCTTGCTGCCCCCTCCTTCCACTCGGGTGCACATAACAGTGTAACAAGTAGAGGAGAGCTGTGTAGAATGTCTTCTACTCTGGGTTCTGTTTGGTAAATATGTCTTAGGCTTGTCTCACCAGGACATCAATGATAGCATGAGCAGTCTGGTGTTGGGAACAGGACTGAACTTCCTCTTTGGTGGGGGTGGAGATGGGAGATGGATTAGTAGGGGTGCTTGTACCTGTGATGTCAGCGCTGGCGGGGCAGATGCTCACAGGTCAGCCAGCCTAGGAGTGCAGTGAGCTGAGAACGAAGGTGGAAGTGATGGAGAAGACATCTGATGGTGACACCCACACCCACACTGCATGGCCACCTGTGTGTGTGCACACACAGATATACATACACACACCCACACTGCACGGCCACCTGTGCGCACACAGATATACATACACACACCCACACTGCACGGCCACCTGTGCGTGTGCACACACAGATATACACACACCCACACTGCACGGCCACCTGTGCGTGTGCACACACAGATATACATACACACACCCACACTGCACGGCCACCTGTGCGTGTGCACACACAGATATACATACACACACACTGCACGGCCACCTGTGCGTGTGCACACACAGATACACACACACCCACACTGCACGGCCACCTGTGCGTGTGCACACACAGATACACATACACACACCCACACTGCACGGCCACCTGTGTGCGTGCACACACAGATATACATACACACACCCACACTGCACGGCCACCTGTGCGTGTGCGCACACAGATACACACACACCCACACTGCACGGCCACCTGTGCGTGTGCACACACAGATACACACACACCCACACTGCAAGGCCACCTGTGCGCGTGCACACATAGACACACACATACTGCACGGCTACCTGTGCGTGTACACACACAGACATACATACACATGATTCTCTTTCAAATTCTGTCCTGTTTTCTTTTTTTAATCCAAATGTATGGATTGTTATGCTGGGTTAGTGGCCCCGTTTGGCTTCCCTCTGGGTTGTGTGGAAAACTGATTATAACATGAACGTTTGAAGGTACCTGACTGTCCTACATAATCAGGAGAGCTCCACACCTCAGGGCAACCTGCTCTTCTTTTGGGGAGAGGGTAGTCTAAGATAAGGTTTCTTTGTGTAGCTTTGAGCCTGTCCTGTAATGCACTTTATAGACCAGGCTGCCCTGGAACTCAGAGATGAGCCTGCCTCTGCCTTCTGAGTGCTGAGATTAAATGCGTGCACCACCACTACCTGGCCTCATCCTGCTTTTATTTGAGTGGAAACAGACATTGAAGAGCCAGGTGTTGTGGCTCACGTCTATGATGTCAGCTCTCAAAAGGCTGCAGCAAGAGGAACGCCAGGAACTTAAGTCCATTCTGGGCTATACAGGGGGCAATCAGTCAGGCTTACCAAGGAAGGCCCTGCATCCCAAGCCAAAATCAATCCCAGGGTCATAATGATATCTGGGGATCCAGGACAAGAGAGGACAATTGGATGGACATTTAAGGAGTGCACACTAAGAGAATGTGTGAAAGTCATGCATTTTAACTAGCATCCTGTGTCCTTCAGCCAGCTTCTAAGCAGCTTTCTTCGTTCAAGATTGTGTGTGTGTGAGAGAGAGAGAGGGGGAGAGGTGAAGGGCATCGGCTCTCAGGCTGTCCAGTGGGTGCTGGGTGTTGGGAGGCTGGAGGATGAGAGGATGCTGAAGAGGCTCTCCTTCCTCTGCGTCATTGCTGTGGGTCTCTTCGTCTCTGGGACTGCAGCAAGTGTTCCAAGTGTCAGCAGCCTCTGTCTAGCCCACTCCATTCCTATGAAAATACTTTCAGATCTTTTTTGGGGGGTGGTAAGGGGTGGGGGATTGAATCCAGGATTTCACCTTGTCCGTGCCAGGGAAATGTTCACTACTCAGCTAATTCCAACCCTAAGATGCAGATATTCTCCAGCTGCAGTTGGCTCCTCTAGCACTGGAAGGCTGGGACTGGAAGTGCTGCAGATCTAGACTAGTGGCGATGCATTTCACATCTGAGATGCCGCATCGCCGAGTCCACAACGTCCCAGGGGTTTTAGCTTTGGGAATAGTTTGGATTTCAGATTTTAGATTAAGATGCTCAGCCTTGTGCTACCACAGGCCAGAGTGACAGACTGGGGCCCTGTGGAGTCGGTTCTGCCCCTCACCCCCTGGTCTCCAGTCGGGTGGGTCACATCCTGAGCTCTGTGCTTTTTCCACTGTGTCCTTGCCCGTCCTTTGTTTCTCACAGCGGCCGGCAGCCTCCCCCACCCCCAGCTTTGGGTGTCTCACATTTTTTATGTGTATTGGTGTTTTGTCTGCTTGGTGTCTGTGTGAGCGTGTTGGATCCCCAGGAAATGTAGTAACACACAGTTGTGAGCTGCCATGTGGGTGCTGGGAGTTGAACGTGGGTTCTCTGGAAGAACAGCCAGTGCTTTTAACCTCTGAGCCATCTCTCCAGCCCTCAAAAAGCTTCAGCGGGGATTCTTTCTGTTTTGTTCTGTTGTTTTTGAGACAGGGTTTCTCCCAAACATAGCTCTTCTAGAACTTGCTTTGTAGACCAGGCTGGCCTGGGCTTACAGAGATCTGCTTGACTCCCTAATACTGGGATTAAAGGCGTGTGCCACCACACCAAGCTCTGTGTTGTTGGCCCTCTGGCTTCTTGACCCGTGCATCTCCTTTCTCATAGTCTCTGCATCCCCAGTCGTTTCCAGTGCTCCCCGCTTCTTGTAAGGCTGCTGTTCTTGCCTTGCTCTTGGTGACCTGTCTGTGGCATGCTGGACCATCTCATTGGTCTCGGTCCCCTCCGGGACCAGCGCAGGCCCGCCACGGATGCCCGAGTGTATAGAAAGCTAACTCGTCAAGCTTCGGCTTCGTTACCTGTCGCAGCCCCTTCCTTCAACATCTCATTCATGTCTTCGTTTGGTGATAGCTTTTGGAATGGTTTGGACTATTTGACACATTTTTCTTGATTTTTGTCTTTTACCCCCAGCCTGGCCACTCTGTGTATGAGTATTTTAGCTAAGACTTGGATTGTCCTGGGGTCAGGGGGCAGCACTGTTTAGAATCCTTATTATTCTACCTGTTGTCTGTTTATTGCACCATGGACTGTTTAAACTCTAACACTTTTTTTTTTCCTTCAGAAACAAGAGTTGAAATCAAAGAGTCTGTTCGTGGCCAAGATATTTTCATTATACAGACGATACCCAGGTAAGACTTGGTGCCCCTTGGGGAGTCCATTTTCTCTGGGAAACTTTCTTTTCATGGGAACAACAATCCAGGGTTGGTTTCTGTTACTGTTTTGTCTTAAAATATAAATTTGTGCTTGGCTGGAGACCAAGGCAGAAGGATAATTCAAGGCCTTCTTAGATTATGGAACCAGTTTAAAGCCAGACTGGGCAACTTAGTAAGACCTGCCTCAGAAAGTAAATGAAATTGCCAAGCATGGTGGCACACACCTGTAATCTTAACACTCAGGAGGCAGAGATGGGCAGATCTCTGTTTCAGATGAGTCTGGACTACATAGCAAATTCCAGCCAGCCAAGGCTACCTAGTGAGACCCTGTCCTAGAAAAAAGCAAAAAAAAATTTCTTAGCATTTATTTAATGGAGGGGGCTGGTTTAGAGGTTAACACTGGCTGCTTTTCCAGAGAACCTGGAACCAGCAACCACATGGTGGCTCACAACCATCTGTAATGAGATCTGGTGTCCTCTTCTGGCATGGAGGTGTACATGCGGGAGGAACACTATATATAATAAATACATCTTTAAAAAAAAGACCGTTATGGAGGTGAGGGTTCTGTGTGCCGTGTACATGAAGAGAGCCGAGAACAGCGTGGAGGAAGACCTTCTCTTGTTCTCTCGGGAGTCCTGGGATGGATCTAACCCGGGTCATCAGTGCTAGCCGCAAGCATCCTTACTCACTGAGCCTTCTCACCGGCCTCCCCAGTGGTTTTGACATGCGCTTTAGAAGTGAGAACGAAGGGACTAAGGAAATAGCTCAGGGTGGAGTACTGGAATGTGCAAGGTCCTGGGTTCCATCCCTAGCACCATCTGGAATATGAGAGAGAAGACCTGAGGGAAATGGGTTATGGTCCTGTGCTTTTCCTCCTTTAGCAGCCTTGGACGAGGGACCTTCAGTGAGGACGCACGGAAGCACTTGGCAGTCTTCCTGGACACTGCTAGGCCCAGGTGTAGGCCCAGGGCCGTCTTAGCTGAGGCTCAGTGCCTTGTCTTTCTCCTGACTGCGGGGTTTTGATGATGATACATATGTGCGCCTGATGTTGTCTCTGTTCTAGCCCTGTCTCCACCAGACAGCTGACTCCTGAGCCAGGTAACTGAAGCTCTGCCTAGACATGTCTTCCCTGAGGAGCTGATAGTTGGTTCACTTAGGCCTTTGTCAAACAGCGTGTGATTAGGAGGCTTTTGTTTCCTAGGTCCTCCTCGGCTTTAAGAGCCTGGTCCCATGGCTGCTCTGGGTTTATCCTTTGGCAGCGAGCAGTGTGGTGCATTGTCATCTCCTTTCTCTGGTGCAAGAGTCTCCAGGAGAGAAAGCAATTTTCATGGAATCCTAGGCCCTTAGACTGCCTGACTGTGGAGCCCTTGTCCGAGGGTGAAAACAGAGCCGCATCTCGACAGGGCCAGGTGGCAAAGAGACACTCTTGGCTGCCCTGCCTGGCTTGTGGAGGCACAAGGGTGCGTCTTAGACAGACATTGAGGAATCTTGGCTGCACTAAGCCTTGGGCTGCAGTAGAAGCCGGAACTGGAGCTTTGCTTTCCTTTTTCCTTCTGGAAAGTCATGCTGGCTGCTTTTGGGGTGACTAGTGTGCTGGCCGTGAGCAGCCCTTAAGTGTAGCTGTTAGATGGTTTTCATGGTGTGTTCAGATGGTCGAGACTCTTGACATCAGGTATCTTCTGATATTTATTTCCCTTAACCACCAGGGGCCACATTCAAGTCTTGATGTTAGCCAGTGACTCACTAGGCTATTCCACTGCGTTTCTTTCTAAAAAAAAATTGTTTGCTTGTTTTTGTTATTCGAGATGGTTTCTCTGTGTAGTCCTGGCCATCCTGGAACTTGGTCTGTAGACCAGGCTGGCCTCAAACTCAGAGCCACCTGCCTCTGGCTCCCCAGTGCGGGGCCTAAAGGTGTGCCACACTGCCTGGCTAAGTACTTTTCTTAATGGTAGGATTGACCTGACAAGACTGAGTCTCTTCTGATTTCTGAAATAGGATCTTGATATGCAGCGCAGGCTAGCTTCCAGCTTGAGTTGTTCCCCACAACCTCCTGAGACCTAGGATGGAGGTGTGTATCACCAGGCCAGCAAAACAACTTTGTTTTTCGGAGACAGTGTCACTCCTTAGCCCAAGCTGGCCTCAAGCTTCTGACTTCTTGTTCTTCGCTTCCTAAATGTTTATTACAAGCCTTATTCCACCAAGCCCACAGGAGGCTTGCATGACGCAGTTCCCGAGACTATTTTGTGTTAGTTTCTCGTTGCTGTGTCAGAACACGTTAAGCATTAGCTGGACGATGCAGAGCATCGTGGCACTGGGAGCCTCAGGCTGCAAGTCACACTGCAGGTGCAGTCAGGAGGCGCAGGCGCCAGCTTGGTTCTAAGAATTACTTTTTAATTTATGTGTGTTTGTGTGTCTGTGCATGTGGCGGTTCAAGCCTTTAACCCAAGCACTCAGGAGGCTGAGGCCAGCCTGGTTGGTCTGCATAGTGAGTTCTAGGGTGGCTATAGTGGGACCCTGTCTCAACAAAACAACCACAGCAGAAAGCAGTGATCCTCCTAAATTAGGCATGTGCCTTCCTCGTACTGACTCAAAATTTTGGATTCTATATATTTTGTTTTTGTTTTTTTTTTAAATGCCGGCTTTCTGGGCTGTCCTGCCAGGGCAAACTCTGACTCTTTTTTTTTTATATATATTTATTTATTTATTATGTATACAATATTCTGTCTGTATGCCTGAAGGCCAGTTGAGGGCGCCAGACGTCTTTACAGATGGTTGTGAGCCACCATGTGGTTGCTGGGAATTGAACTCAGGACCTTTGGAAGAGCAGGCAATGCTCTTAACCACTGAGCCATCTCTCCAGCCCGGATTCTATATATTTTGAAATCATTTGTTATTACTATTATTTATGCATATGGGTGTTTTTGCTGTGTACCATGTAACGGCGTAAATGAATGCAGACAGATTGTAAAAATATATACAGTTTTAATGGGGAAATAGATTTACAGAACCACCATTCCCGTGGAGACCAGGAAAGCAGAAGGGGCGGCTGGGAGCAGGCTTGCCAGATTTATAGGTAAACATTAGCCTGAGGCGAACACGCCCCCTAAGGGGCTGGACTTATCCCTACATCTCCCCCTTTTGTCTAAATAAGACAGAACTAAACCAAATACAACTATATACAATAATAACAATAAATATAACAAACAATATTGAGAACAAAAGTTTTGCTAAACATTCTATCTCAAGGAGTCTAAATAATGTAGAGAGTAACTACAATTATATAATCCGTCAAAGATCTGAGAAGGGAATAAATATTACTTAACAAACGAGATATATCCAAAATGTGCAACAATTGACAGAGACAACTGACTACCTGGGCAATCACCCAAAATCTCGTTTGCAATGTTGAGTCAACCAACTTTGGCTAAGGCCTAACATAACTGACATACCATTATTAAAGGCAAGGAACTTTCTTAGAACTATCCTACCCTGTCTTGGCAGGATAAGACAATCCTGTTTCATTGTCAGAAGTTGAGGTATGGGCTTTTCTTAACCCAAAGGCCAGTTCTGCCAAGAAGACAAGGTCCCAGTGGAGTGTCTTTGGTGCTCAACGTTCTCTCAGGAGTAGAGTGGTGTTGCCAGGAGTAATTGTGTCTCTTTGGCACAGAATTCTAGGTTAGATTAAAGGCCATTTTCTACAGCTCTTTGAAGAGGCTGAAGATTATACTATCTATACTAAATATAATCTCTATGTATCTAAAAGACCTGATTAACCTAAAAATAAATATGACAAACATATAATTCTCAATACCTAGCTAACTTGAAGACTAAAAGAATAAACAACCGTGCAATATATAAAGACAATGATCTTCAACTGTAAACAATGTCATTACATATCAAATGTAAACAATGTTATTATATAAATAGTATCAGAGGTAGAAATGTACATTTTAATATGGTAGATGTATCAATACAATATAGACAAAGTTATAAGCATACTCTTATACAAAAATAGAGGTAGGACACTCACATTCAATATTCAATATATCAATATGCAGGAAACAGTACCAATACAATTTTCTAAAAACAGTAATTCACAAATACCAATCATCCCATCAAACCAGTTAATCCCCCGCCCCCCCCTTTTTTTTTTTGAAAATACCCCTAATTCCATAAAATATCTCCCCATCCTCTCAACCCTAAACCAACCACTAAAAGATGTCCCTAATGCTGAGATCAAACTCTGTTGGGAGAGGGGACGTCATCCTCTAAGATTGCTTCTAGCTGACATGGGGCGACATTCTTCTTAGGGCTCCTGTGAAAGCAAATGATGGTAAAATTCCCAAATTAACCTTTGACCTAAGAAAATTATATAGTCTCTGAGCGTTTTGAGAAGATCCGGCCAGAGTGTTATCAAAAAATGTGCACCATTCGAAATTGTCTCATGTAGTTGGTACCAAAAAACAGGTCTAATTTTAGCGATTAAAAAAATATTCATGACATCATAAAAACCAGATTGAGTTGATGTCGTGGGGCCCCATCTTCATCCTGGAAACTTTAAAGATTACTGTAGGGAAAGTTGTTGTTTGTTATGGGAAATTTAAACATTAACAACAAGGACCCTTCCTCCATCATTTCCCCTTTTTCTGTTTAAACAAAAAAAAAAGGAAGGCTTTAACTTTAACATAGCAAAATTACATATAACAAAACAGTTATCAAGTAAAAATTACAATATTTACATCTATTTTATCTTTATCATAACTAAGAAAAACTATAACTAACTATTCTTCAACTCCTTCAAAGACTCCAGAAAGATACAATATTACCTAAGCAAGCAAGAAATAAGCAACTTTCAAACTCTCCTTTTTCTGTTTAAACAAAAAAAAAAAGGAAGGCTTTAACTTTAACATAGCAAAATTACATATAACAAAACAGTTATCAAGTAAAAATTACAATATTTACATCTATTTTATCTT